CCCTCTAGTTTCTTGGAATACATGTAAAGAGCTGATTTGAGTGAGGTAAAGAGGGGTGCCCTCACCAATGGGACCCCAAAAACTAAACTGACAAGCTTTCGCAATTTTCAGAAACTCACAATAAGGTACATTTCATCTTAACTAAAGACAGACACACTTTGGCAAAATCATTTTCCTGTTTTCAAATACATCAAGTAAAAACACAAGCAATTATGGACCCCCCAAGTAATCACATACTTTGTCACACAATTACAACGCACAACTTAGAAGCTGTGAAAACACAGGCTACTAATCTAAGCATCAACTTCCGACTGCAGGACTCAGTCTCTTTGTAAGTTATGTTCAATTCCGTTTACAGAATCAAATCTGAATGTTCAGCCAGGAGCCACTTTCCATCTTCTGAAGGCCCTCTAAGGTGCCCTGCACATGACTTGTCCTTGCCTACCTTCATCCCTGAGGACCTCTGAATGGGGTCACCGCTGTCACCCCTCTGTTATTCAAAAGTGAAGCACGGTCATGAAACGTCCTAGCCCTAAAGGTCTCTACGACAACTTTTATTCCTATTTAGACAGAACTCACTGATGGGGTAACATAACTGTTTCTCATTCTCCCTGAGGTAAACAGGAACATGAGCCCACACACTTCACGCTGAGGATAACACCAGAACCAGAGGGAAAAGGGGAAGCCCCTAACCCAGGAGGAAGCATACACTCCTGGCTGCCCCCACCACAGGTGGTTACAAACCTACCCCCTAGCGATCGCATTTCGGTGTGGGAGGGCCGCTACTGAAACTTACCAAGCATGGGAGGTTCCTGGGTCCTCAGTTCAAGTAAGTGCATTGTTACAGATAGAGACTTAGAAAACAAATACATAGAACCATTGACTTTAACAATCTAGGTTGGATCTGGTTTTGACCCTGTATCACCTCTCAAGTCCAGTTCCTCACCTAGAAAATAGCAGTAACAGCATCTTCCCTTCCTCACAGGACGCTGTAAGGAACAAACTGAGGTGATGTGGAGAAAAGCACTCTGATACATAATACATACATACCAGACATACATAACAGATCATTTGGTTGACAACTGTATTCGCCATTGCTTTCTTTAAATAAACTTCCCTATTGCATTTAAAAGGATTCACGTCATAAAATGTAATCACAACTGCTTAGACCCACTTATACAGCACAGGATGAAATACAGCTACGTTCAATCTTCAGGATGTAGTTTTTCTTTTCCTTTTTCCCCCCGAGACAGGGTCTCTGTCACCCAGGACAGAGTGCAGTGGCATGATCACAGTTCACTGCAGCCTCAACTTCCTGGGCTCAAGCGATCCTCCTGCCACAGCCTCCTGAATAGCTGGGATTACAGGATTGTACTATTACACCCAACTAATTTAAATTTTTTTTGTAGAGATAGTGTCTCACTATGTTGCCCAGGCTGATCTCCAACTCCTGGCCTTAAGCAATCCTCCTGTCTCAGTCTCCCTACGCATTGGGATTATAGGCATGAGCTACCACCCTGGCCTGCAATTTCAAAAACTTTATAAACAGTCTGTTGTGTGCAAATTTTGCAATAAAGGTGACCAAAAAAACCCTAGAAAACAAAAAGCAAAACAAAAACAAAGTCTACTGCTTGCCTGGATATTTGTCTTATACTGTTAAATCATGAATCTCTGCTGTTGAAAGACACAATACACTATTTTAACTTGGATATATTAAATAAAGAAGTTTCCAAAACACCCAACTAACTATATACTGGAAACATGAAGTCCCCACTTTTTGTAAGGGTGCCAAATAAAGGAAGACCTCATCTATGAGAAAGTGTTAAGGCTTCAACACAAAACAAGAAAATGCTACTTTTACATCTGAGGCCATCCAATTCTGTGCCTCTCCGGGGTGCTGCTTCAGCAGGGTGAAAGGTACTGTTTTTCCTTCTTCCTCTTGCTACTCTCCTTCGCAGCACATTCCCTATTTCTGCATCACATCTGCGTAAGCTTCCCAGCCTTCAGCGACTTCTGTTTGTCATCAGTGGCAGTGACATTTAATTCACTCCGAGGTGCTGCCTGACCTTAGGGAGTGCTGTTTGCAACATCCATGCCCCCGATGAGCAGCACCCTGGCTGAGCAGCTCCCCAGTGTTGGTGGCACTCTTCTCTCAGCTCACTGCCACCCTGCACAGAAACATCTAAGTGACCCTGGTGGCCCCACAGGCCAGTCTCTACAGACATGCACTGCAGTCTAAGTAGCTCCTGTTTCTCAGGCTGCCAAGGCCGCCGCCTCCTTTCAACCCCTCAGCTCCCAGACAGAGGTCCCCCTCCCTCAAATTTGATCTCATGCACAGGGCACACGCCCTGCTCCCCTAGGCCCAATTTTCCCCTGGGAGCCTCAGAGACACATTCCCTCACTAAAATAAGATTGAGTCTCTCAAGAATGTTATTGTCGGGTCTGTCCCACCTAACCAAATGCCTTCAGTCCTTTGAATGTATTTAATGTAAAAACTCAAGCCATTTATTTGTTTAATATACATCCCTAAGATCTCTGTCCATCTCATTACTCAATTTCTTAGACTAGTAGTTACACCAGACAAGGTGTCCCTTGTTTTTTTTAGAGACAGCGTCTCACTCAGTCACCCAGACTGGAGTGCAGCAGTGCGATCTTGGCTCACTACAACCTCTGCCTCCCGAGTTCAAGCTATTCTTATGCCTCAGCCTCCCAAGTAGCTGGAATTACAGGTGCATGTCACCATGCCTGGCTATTTTTTGTATTTTTAGTACAGATGGGGTTTCACCATGTTGGCCAGGCTGGTCTCGAACTCCTGACTTCAAGTTGATCCACCAGCCTCCCCCTCCCAAAGTGCTGGGATTACAGATATGAGCCATGGCATCCAGCCCCTTGTTTAATGTGCTTGACAATGATCCCTTCCTTGGTCCCCCACACTAACAGACCCTTTCACAATAGCGTGATGGTGATGAATGTGTAACCCAGGACCCAACTTAAGTATGATGTCGACTTTCTACTTTGGATTAAATCAGAGTCATTTAAAGCTGACTTTTGGTCCCACAAAAGAGCCCCTGTGCCTTACAAGGATCAAAACTGGAAAGGAAGAGGGAAAAGCTGGTTAAGTGTGGAAAATCCTTTCTGATCAACTTGTTATTAAGCATCTGATCACCCAATAATGGAAACTACTATGGAAAAAGCTATCCTTCGGGCTCCATCTTGGAAACAGCTGGATATAAATAGTAGGACAAGCCTTTTTGTTAAGTCTTGTGTTACTAATTGTCCCCCTTTTTAAGACAAAATCTACAACAAATTCATTCAACAACAGCAAAGCTACAAAGCCATCCAGGTTACCAGTTTCAGAAGACAAGCTTCAAAGCTGAACTCGCCTCGTATGACCTACGTCTCACAGAACTGAAGACTACTCAAACACAGCAAGATTAATGAAGCAACTGAGATCTGTTCTGCAGTACAACGGCATTTAAACTATTGTTTCCAAATTTCTCACTTCAGTAAGTTCATTTCATAAGATTAATGTCAAACTCAACTTTTATCAGCTAAAAAGAAAAACATTATTAGTGATTTTTACATACCATGAGCATCATTTACTCCTCCCCACTGTTTAAGAAATTTTAACTAGATAAGAATCTCCTTATGATTGATTTTTAAAAATCGTTTTTCACTTCCACATTAATATTAAATGTCTCTTATCATAACTTGATTCCAGGAATTGTATTCAAACTTAAGCCACAAAATTCAAGTTTTGTTTCAACAGCAATAGCAGTTTTTTGAATATGCTAGTGGTCGGTCACAGAACTATTTCCACAAGTTGAACAGCTGTGTCTAGCGCAAATATGAAGGCAGCAATGTAATTCAATTTGGACTCATTCATTAGAAACTGATTTTCAGATGCTGCCACTGCAAGACTACTGGAGAAATGCAAGCTGCGCTGGAGACGGAATTGTTCGCAGCGGCACACAAGTTTTTGCTGCAAAGGAGACAGCTCTAAAAGAGGAAATACAACTAGTTCATGTTACCATGAACCAGCGCAGTAGGACCCAGAATTACTGAATGAATAGAAAACTAAATACTTCTCTTAAGCAGCAATGATTACTTAAGAAAGTTTCCAGGGAAGCTGTTAAATGAGAGGAAACAAACAAAAGATGATTTATTCAGTATCCTGCTACATTTTTTTGAAAAACTGGAATTCCTACATGCCTTAACATAATTTTTTGTACATCTACACTGTGAAAGCAACACAAACTCAAATGGAGATGGCAGCCCAAATGAACTTAAATCTGCTGTTTAACTTTCTTTTGAAGTTACACATGGAAATGAAACACACCACAGCAACTTTAATGACATCTTGCTAACGAAGTTTGGATTTTAAAAAATGGAATGACTAGTTCACTAAAAAAAACAAACAAACAAACAAACAAAAAAGGAGTTTTGAAAATAAGCACTAAGCATCTTTCCAAGGAACTCACCCATTCCAAGAAACTTCGGTTCTAACTCGCAAGCTGGCGGCTGCTGTGAGTATCCTCTGACTGCAGCCTGGTCAATGTATCGCTAATCCAGAAAATACACTGCGCTACCTTTGGCCGCGATCTTGCTTTCTCTAAGCATCAAAGGTACCCTCCGCTGTCATTCCTCTGGACGGCCACGCGTGCGGACACGGCCGCGGATGGATGCGTAGGACATTACCAAACAAACCCACACGCTGCACTTTACTTCTTCCCTCCTGGAGTGCCACTCGGGTCCCCGCGAGGAGGGCTGATCGGGTGCGGGGAGGCCCAGTGCACCGGGCGTGTGCTGCCCAACTCGGGCCCAGTGACAGTCCTGCGACGAACTTCCACCATCCGGCGCGGGGCGAAGGGAACGGGCTGCGGGGCCTGCTCCGGGCTCCAGGCTCGGTAGGTATCCGCGACCACCACCCCCGGACACTCTCTTTCAGGTGGGGGTGACAGCGCCCCCCGGGCCCCCGCCGCCCTGGACCCCCTCCTCACCTGTGCTGTCATTCGCCGAGAAGCCGGGCGAGCTGAGTTTGGCTCGTTTGGGGTTGGGCGGTCCGTCCAGCAAGTTCTCGGCCATTTTCACCTGCTCGCGAAAACAGCCCCGGGAGCGGACGGCCGGGCCGGCGAAGGCCCGGACGGGGGTCGGGGGCGCTGCCGGCTGCGAGGGAGAGGAGCGAGCGCGGCCGCGAGCAGGCGGGCGGGCGCCGAGGGAGAGGGAGGGCGCAGGCCGGGTGGGGGAGGCGGCGGCCAAATCTCAGCCACAGCAACAGCGCCCCGCAGCGCTCACCGCCCGCCCCCGGCCGCCGCCGCCGCCGCCGCCGCCGGCCGCGGCCCCCTCATCCCCTGCCCGCCTCCCGAGCGCGACACTCCGCGGCGGGGGCGCCCCGGCGGCCCGGCCGCCCCCCCGGGCCCGGCTGGCAGCGGCCGGGCCCCGGCCGGGCGGCTCAGGCAGTCCCCGGGAACATGGTGCCGCCGCCGCCGCCGCCTCGCTCCCCCCCCGCGCCCCACTTAATGAATTCGCTCGCGGCCCGACGACGAGGGGGCTCCGGGCTCCGCTCCCCGCCCGCGGCCCGCCGCCGCCGCCGCCGTGAGGAAAAACAATGCGCCGAGCGGGGTCGCCGCCGCCGCCGCGGCCCCCACCCGTTCCGCCTGCCACCCGCCGCCTGCCGCCGGCACCCACCGCGCCCGCGCGCGCCGCCGAAACCGGGAGGCCGAGCCGAGAGAGGCAGGCAGGAGCGCCGGAGCAGGCGCGAGAAACGAGCGGAGCAGGCCGGCCGGGCGGAGCAAGGGTGCGCGGGCGGTTGGCCAAGGTTCCCGTGCATGGCGCGGGGCCGCCGGGGCGGGCGCCGAGGGCCGGGCGGAGCGGGCCGGCCGGGCGGAGCGGGGTGCGCGGGCGGTTGTGGGGCCCGGGACCGGCGGGGCCGAGTAGATCGCGCTCGAAGCCCCGGTCGGGTCCGCGACAAGATGGCGGCTGTTGATTCCTCAATTAAAAAAAAAAGAAAGTTTTTTTTCTTCTCTTTCCAGAGCCTGAACGGGGAGGGGGTGGGGGCGGGGCACGCCGGTGCGTCACCCCCCCGCGGCGTCACCACGCACGGCCCCCGCCCCGCCCCCTCCACCTGCGCCGGCCGTGGCGGAAAGAGCCGAGCGTGCTCGGGCCGAAGGCCCGAAGGCCCGAAGGCGCGGCCGCGAAGCGCAGGGCGGCGGGCTGCCGGGCGCGGGCCAGGCCTGCGGGGCGCCGGGACTCCGGGCTGAGCCGCGGCTTTTGTTCTGATGGCGACGAGGCGGCGAGGGCCGGGGCTCCGGGCCCCAGCGGGCTCCAGGAGCAGCGGCCTGGCCACGGGCTGGGCTCTCCGGCGCGGATTCGACGCCAGCCCGGGCCCGCCCGTCCCGCTGGGGCGGCGCTGCGTGTTCCCAGCTCCTCGCGTCCCTGCCCGATACCCTCCTCGGTGGCGTCGGGCGGGGACGATCGGGGCGACCCCAGCCCAAGCCGCACTACTAGCCTTCGCCGCCGGCCAGGGAAATGGAATGGCCCTGCAGGTTACAGACCGCCTTCAGGTCTGCCGACGATGTGGGCGGATGGGGAAACTGAGGCAGGAGGGGGGAGAGCAACTTCTCCCAAGTCGTCGAGGCAGGAAGTGGCAGGGCCGGGATTCGGGTCCCGCCCCACCTGGTGACACTAGGGAGTAAGGGGGCCTCACGCCTGTTCCCAGCCCGAGGGGGTGAGGCCGACACCCTCACCTGGGAGAGTGGGGTGGCGAGCGCCGGCCTGGGCGGAGAAGGGCCCGCGCATCGGGGCTTAAGCCTGGACGCCCAGGCCGCACTCCCCGCCCAAGGCAACTCGCCTGGCGCCTCGTAGGTGCCCCAGACAGGGGTGCGGGCCTGGGGAGTCCCCCACACGAGACCACAGCCCGCGGGACACTTCCACGAACACCCGAGGTGTTCCTATCCAAGTTAGTTATCTGCCCCTCCAAACTAGCCCGGCTTCCTCATAAAGGTATCAGCAGCTCCACTGTTTCCTAAGCCAGAAGTCCTGAGTCAGCGCAGACTCCTCCCTCTCACCCACCACGCGCCCCTCTACCCACGGTCTTTACCTGGGAGACGGCTCTTCCCGCACTGTCCCGGTGGCTATGGTGGCAGCTGCTCACTTAACTGTTCTTTGCTTGCCACGTTTCTCCCCACCCAGCACAAAAGTTAACGTCCGGAGAAGAGAAGGGAAAAAATCTGTTTAAAACAACTCCCTGGCTAGGCGTCGTGGCAGATCACCTGAGGTCAGGAGTTCGAGACCAGCCTGGCCAACTTGGTGAAACCCCGTCTCTACTAAAAATACAAAAATTAGCTGGGCGTGGTGGCGTGGGCTTGTAATCCCAGCTACTCAGGAGGCTGAGATCGGAGAATCCCTTGAACCCGGGAGGCCAGTAAGCCGGGATCTCGCCATTGCACTCCATCCTGGGCGACAAGAGTGAAACTCCATCTCAAAAACAAAACGAAACAGAACTCCCTGACACCGAAAAAGAAAACACTGCATATGTAGTCTTTCTTTTAAAAAGAACATGTATGAATTCTCTTAAAAACATAGGTATATGTACATATGGTGACTGTCCTTGAGTGTCAAGATTGAGTGAACTTTCTGCTTTTCTCTGTTTATCTGTACTGCTCAAAACCTTGCACCGCGACACCCCTCTTGAATCTGTCTCTTCCACTTTACATGGCTCACTTCACTATCATTATCCTATACCCACTTGGCCAGTAGGCAATTCTCATCTTTCAGGCTTTTTTTTTTTTTTTCCCCAAATGCTGTTCCCTGTGCTAAGGGCACATGCCTAGCGAATTCTGACTCATCCTCCAGGACCCAGTTCAAATGTCACCTACTCCAGGAAGCCCTCCTAACCCACTTCTTGGCTCCCATATCACTTCTGGGCTCTGTGAGAGAACACATAACACATCTTGCCCCATCTTCCTGCCCTCCACTGCCCCTGAATTAGTTCATGTTTTTACTTATGCATCAAATAGCTCTTGAAAATCCCAAGGGCATTGCGAATGTGCTAATCCCCTTGGCCAAACATAAAGAGATCCCCGTATATTCAAGGAGTTAAAATAGCATACCCTGGAAACCATAAATGGATGCATTCAAGAAGTCAATTTGCACAGGAAAGGCAAGAAGTTTATCAGTGGCACAGGGCAGGCCACACCGTATATCTGAATGTCCATCTCACCAAGGGTCTGTGAGCTCCTTGGAGGCAAAGGTGGTGTCTTAATGATAGAAACAGTGCTCTGCAAGAAGAAGTAGGTTTGTAAAATTGAATAAATGAGTGATGAGCTGTGTCAGGTGCCCTGAGTCCTAGAGGCCTTCAGGTCACTGAAAAGGGTGGGCCCCAGCCTGAGGTGGCTCCAGGCCACTCCTCAAAGGGGACAAGGTGTCCAGCCACCTAGAGGCCTTAGGGCCTGCTTTGGGGCAGTGGGGCATGCAGCCCCCCAGGGTTCCCTTGGTAAGTGGTTTACACAGAAGTGTGCACAGGAGCTTCAGCCATTGCCTGACAGGTTTCCATTTTACAGAGGAAAGCAAGGGAACCCAGTTGCAAGGACTCAGAAGTAAATGACCTGGACATGGCAAGGCTGGGCCTGGAACCCAGGTCCTCACTCTCCAAAGCCCCTAGTCTTCCTGTCTCTCCATGCTCCACCCTCAAAATATACCTGCTCTGCATTTCGTTTTCCTGTCTCATTGTTCTCTCCTGTTTCAATTTCTTCTCCCTCCAGTTCTTTGAGTCTGACTCAAAGAACCCTGAGCTCAGACACTGATGGGAGAATAGCAAGGAGGGAAGCATGGCTCTTGCCTGCACTCACTTAGCTGGGGATCACCACTGACAAGTGAGTGCCTTGGGGATACCAGACCGCTCTGCCATGCCTCCCATGGATAGCACTTCCTACAATCCTGGAAGGAAAAATTGTCCTCATTTCACAGATGAGGAAATAAGGCCCAAAGGAGGACAAGTTATCCAGCCACTAAGGGGCTTCACTCCGGTGCACACCTAAGGCTTCCTGCTGTTTCCACAAACCTCACTCTCTCCAGTCTCAGAGACCACATTAAAAAACAACCAAGGGACTGGGCACGATGGTTCACGCCTGTAATCCCAACACTTTAGGAGGCCGAGGTGGAAGGATCTCTAGAGCCCAGGAGTTTGAGACCAGCCTGGGCAACAGTGAGAACTTCATCTCTACAACAAAATGTTAAAAAAATTAACTGGGCGTGGTGGCGTGCACCTGTAGTCCCAGCTGCCTGGAAGGCCAAGGCAATAGGATCACCGGAGCTCAGAAAGTCGAGGCTGCGGTGAGTTATGATCAAACCACTGCACTCCAGTCTGGGCAACAGTGAGATACTGTCTAAAAAATAAAAATAAAGAGAAAGAAATGGAATTGTTGGCCAGGACCGGTGGCTCATGCATGTAATCCTAGCACTTTGGGAGGCTGAGGTTGGTGGATCACCTGAGGTCAGGAGTTCAAGATCAGCCTGGCCAATATGGTGAAACCCTCTCTCTACTAAAAATACAAATAAATGGCTGGGCATGGTGGCGGGCGACTGTCATCCCAGCTACTTGGGAGGCTGAGGCAGGAGAATTGCTTGAACCCGGTAGGCGGAGGTTGCAGCGAGCCAAGATCGCGCTCCAGCCTAGGCAACAAGAGTGAAACTTCATCTCAAAAAAAGAAAAAAAGAAAAAGAAATGGAATTGTTGCAATTTGATATTGATTGTCCCTTTCTAGGCTTAAATAGATTAAAAGATAGCATCAGGTTTGAACTTTGCCTTCAAGCGATGCAGAACAGCATTGGGGAGAAAAACAAACACAACACACATTGAAAAGATAAGCAGAGAATCCAAGTCAGAAGAGCACAAAACCGTAACTGATCCCCCAGGGGTGGAAATCCGGGGGTTGCGGGGCAGAGGCCTGGGGGAGTAGTCCCAAGAGGGCAGGATTCCAGCCAGTTCCTTGTGGACGGAAGGCAGCATGTGGTCTGGTGGTGTGGAGGGATCCAGATAGAGCTGGGTTCAAGTCCCAAACCTACTGCTTTTTCTTAGCTGTGCTGAAAACAAATACCCTAGCCGGGTGCGGTAGCTCACGCCTGTAATCCCAGCACTTTAGGAGGCTGAGGCAGGCGGATCATCCGAGGTCAGGAGTTCGAGACCAGCCTGACCAACATGGAGAAACCCGTCTCTACTAAAAATACAAAATCAGCGGGGCTTGGAGGTGCATGCCTGTAACCCCAGCTACTTGGGAGGCTGAGACAGGAGAATTGCTTGAACTCGGGAGGCGGAAGTTGTGGTGAGCCGAGATACCATCATTGCACTCCAGCCTGGGTAACAGGAGCAAAACTCCGTCTCAATAAAAGAAAAAAAAAAAAAAGAAAGAAAGAAAAAAGAAAAAAAACAAATACCTCCTCACCTGCTGAGAGAGTTGAGGTGCGGTGGAGATGAGATGGAGGGTGCATGGGGTCCATGGCACACCAAGGCACCATACAAGGCAGCTGCTATTTGGGGCAGTGGGAAGCAAGTGCTCAAAGGGGAGAGGCCCCTCCCCTCTCTCTGCCTTCCACATGGGAGGCCGCACCCGCCTCTCTTGCTGTTGCTTTTTACCATCACCTCCC